GTGGGGTGGCAAGACAAGAACTGGTGCCCACATGGAAGTCCCAGCACATACAAGGCAAGGACCTCAGCCACTAGGCTACTACACCAGGCCACAGTTTCTAATTTGAATAATCAGTCTTTACTATGTTTGCTTCCTTCTCTTTCTGCTTTCTTCTGATTTTTTTTTCGCAAGAATAACCAAGAAAAATATGCGAAGGAAGATTTGTGACAGATGTATGTGTGCTACAATGATTATTAACAGCCTACCACAAACCCCTCTACTGAAATAAATGTTATTGGCATAAAACTGATAAATAAAAAGGCAGGCGACAGAATAAACAACCTAAAATTTAGATCCAATTTTATATGAGAATCTAGAATATGGTGAAGATGATATTTCATCTAAGTGAGAAAAAAATGCATTGCTTAATAAATGATGATACAAATGGCTTTTCAATTAGAATACTATGAAAATAAATTTCTGTTTCATATATAAAAGTTTATTCTTGTTGTTCAAGACCTAAATGTAGAATGTAAAAAAAGATCAAAATTCCACAAACCAATCTAGAAGACATCATGCAGACAAGACTGGAAAAACATATCACACAAAGTGAAAAATAGACATTCTATCATAAATTTAAAACTATTTTGTATCTAAAAAAAACAGTCAATAACATAATTATAGGCTTGGACATTTACTGCCAATCCAAAGGATATGTGAGGTTAATTATACCATACAGAAATCTCTTTCAAGTTTCCAGAAAAGAATAAATCAAACAATTAGGCAAGGGATCTGAAAAGAGCAATCCTAAGAGGTCAATTGCAGCAATTGACAACATATGAAAAGATAAAAACTCACCAGCAGCTGAAAAAACACACGTTAAAATGGAAGATGTCATTTTATACCTTATAATATACCAAACATTGAATTATAGCATCTGTGTCTGACAAGATAAAGTTGCTAGAAATGAGAATTATTTCCTTTTTGGGAAAGTAATCTGGCAATAACCATGACACACAGCTCTTATGAAAACTGAGAGAGGAGAGGACCAAAAGCCTTATGCTTAATGATCGACAAAACTTGACAGTAATCTCCTTTAAAATCAAAGTCAAATATGTCGGGTAACACCTCTATAATTTAGCACTAAACTAGATTCTTGCCAGAGCTAAGACAGGTAAAACGAGGGAAATTTAGGGAAATCTGTAGTGAAGAAAAGACTGTCATTTTCAGATAATAGAAGCATATGTCAAGGTAATTTGAAAGACTTCAGAGAAATCATAAGAAGTTTGCTTGATTAAAAAAGAATATGATATGTATTAGTTCCCTTTTTTCTAAGTAGCATCCACCAAATAAAAAATAAGCATTTGGAGTAGCATCAGAAATATCACACACCAAAGACTCAGAAAGCATGCAAGACCTTTATGGCAGAAACTAAATTTTTGAGACATCTTGAAAATGATACAAATAAAAAATATGAATACCTAAACATGCTACGCTCATAGCTTAGAATATTTAAACCCATCATCAAGTCAATGGATTTAAAGCAGTGTCCATCACAAATTTCAATAGTTTTTTATATGCAACATGGCAAGTCGATTTTAAAATGTGTATAAAAATGCAAATTGCTAAAAATAAAATCTTGAACGACAATGTGCCCAGCCTTATTGCCTCATGGTCAATCACAGCATGGCTATCACAGCTCCAGGTAAAAGATGACAGAAATCAGAATGAGATGGCAGATTTTCCAGAAATTTTGAAATTATGTGACATTATGTAGCATTACCCAGACTCTGATACTTAGACATTCCTAGCTGCAAGGGATTCTGGGTTATTTCTAACTGAACACATTTTTTTTTTTTTACAGAGTTGAAATTGCATTAAAATGAAATAATATATAGAGGTAAACATCTAGCAATTTTTTTTACAGGATCCAAACCTGTTCTATATCATTTCCTAAAACAAAAAATTCATGAATCATTTTCTCTTTCTTTGTTAGTAGAAAAAAATGAAAAAAAACTCATAAATCATTGTACTGCTCTTTATTAATGGAAAGAAATGGACTGTGTCTTATTCCTTATTTTGTAGGAAATATTCCAACATTTCCCAGATATTCTTGCACATGTTCTGTCTCATATATGCGCACGCGCACACACACACACACACACACACACACACACACACACACACACACACACACACAGGTTTACCAAGGTAACAAGCTCTACATCCATGATGCTTATCATCTACCTTCTTATTTTCAAAGATTCCTGGGATGTGTCCTGTTTCCTGTTCCTAAGTTAAATTTGATGCCTCAGTTATAGTTCAGGTTCTGTAGACTCACTCTGATGTTAAGTCAGAGAAACAGCATAACCCACAGGCACTGCGATGGAAACATGTGGCTGCCTGTACCAAAAGGAAACCTACTGCGGACACTGCTCACTTACGGAGCTAGAAATGAGACGAAAGAAAGAAGGAAAGAAAGAAAGAAGGAAGGAAGGAAGAAAGGAGGGAGGGAGGGAGGGAGGGAGGGAGGGAGGAAGGAAGGAAGGAAGGAAGGAAGGAAGGAAGGAAGGAAGGAAGAAAGAAAGAAAGAAAGAAAGAAAGAAAGAAAGAAAGAAAGAAAGAAAGAAAGAAAGAAAGAAAGAAAGAAAGAAAGAAAGAAAGAAAGAAAGAAAGAAAGAAAGAAAGAAAGAAAGAAAGAAAGAGAGAAAAAAGAAAGAAAGAACCTGCAGAGGTTGGGAATTCAGCCCTTTTTAATTCAAAAATTATCAGGATCAAGTTGGCCATCACGTACTCAACATCCTCCACATTTCAGTGACAAAAGGTCAGACATTCTCTAACATTTTATATACAGGATACATACCAAGAAATGTACAAAAAGATACACATAAATGAGTTTCTGTCATTGGATCAAAATCGACACACTCATTAAAAGCAAAGCATTCCTAGCACCCTAGGTGTTCTCACTGTTCCTCCACAACTTCCCTTTTTAACATGAAGTTATAGTTCATTGTCATTTACATGGTATGAGTCAGTGAAGCAGTATTTATAACTAAATAATGAAATTATTGACACATGATTTTTATCTTCTCCATACATAGTAGCTATCAGAGAAAATGTGATATCTTTCTTTAGTGTCTGGCTTAGTCTACATTGCATAATGATACGCAGTCGGACGCATTTTGTTGGAAATGTCAGGACTTCATTCATTCTATGGCTGAGTACTATTCAACGTGCATATATACATTTTCTTCATCCAGGTATCAACTGATAGACATACAGATTGGTTCCATATCTTAGGAATGGTGACTGGAGCTGCTCTAAGATAGAAGTATAGGTAACTCTTTCATTGACTGCTTTAATTTCCTTTAGGCATATTCCCAGGAGTGGAGTAGCTAGGTGGTGTCATAGATTTGCTTTTATCTTTCTGAGGAATTTCCGTACTGTCTTTAATGATAGTTATACTAGTCTGTCGCCAAACTAACATTATTGATCAGGTACCTTTTGCTCCACACCCTCAACAGTGTTTGTTTTTTTGTTTTTTTGTTTTTTTGTTTTTTTGTTTTTTTTGGTTGGTAGATGATACCCTTTCTAACAAAGTAAGGAAATACCTCATTGTGCTTTGGGATTTTGTTTTCCTAAACCCTGTGATTCTGAGCATTGTTTTTTTTTTTTTATGTATCTATTGTCCCACTTATATTTCATCCTTTATGTCCTTTATATCCTGTATATCCTTATAATCCTTTGTATCCTTCATATCCTTTGCCCATTTCCTGACTCGGTTGCTTGTTTTGCTGCTGTTTTCTTGAACTCCTTCTATATTCTGGATCTTGCTCCTGTACTGGATGCATAAGGTACAAATCAGTTATCTGTTGGTGATTTCTTGACTGTGTAAAAGTGTCTTAGACTGACAGAATCCCGTTGTTAATTTTTGTTTTTACTGCCTGTCCTTCTGAGGTCTTATCCAAGAAATCTTTGCCTGTGCTAATGTCATGCAGTGGTATGCCTGTGTTTCTATAAAGTTAATTCAGGCCTTAGATTTAGAGTTGTGAGCCACTGTAAGTTGATTTTTGTATAGGGTGTCATGTATGGGCCTTGTTTCAAACTTTTGAATGTGAAAATCCTATTTTTCCAACACCATATGTTGAAGATACTGTCATTTATCCAGAGAATGATTTTAACACATTTGTCAAAGATTATTGATCCTAGATGTGTGGATTAATTTACAGACTTTCTTTTTCTGTTTCATTGGTTCACATGTATATTTTTATGTCAATACCATAGCGTTGGACTGTAGTGGCCTGCAGTATGTCTTAAAAACTGCTTCTGTGACGTTTACAGCTTTTTCATTATCCTGGAAGATTGCTCTGGTTATCTGGGGTCTTTCCTAAACTTACAGAAAATAACCTTGGTTTTTAAGCTGAGATTGCATCGAATCTGTAAGTCAATTTGTGTAGTATGGACATGTTGACGAATATGAATTATTCTAATCCATGAAGGTAGAAGGTTTTTCCATTTATGTCTTCAGTTTCTTTCATCAATGTTTTACAATTTTCATTCTAGAAATCTTGATCTAATTTTTATGAAGGTATTTGAAGTTTTGTAGCTATTATGAATGAAACCGATCTTACGAGTTCTTTTTTAACCAGAACATTGTTGTCTAAAAGTGAGAGTATAAGAATACTGTTGATTTTTTCCTGGTTTTGTGCCTTGTAACTTTATGAATGCTCTTATGACTCCCAACAGGCTCTCAGTGGAGTTTTTCTGATTTTCTTATCTAAAGGACCATGTCATTGGCAAACGGGGATAATTTGACTTATTCATTTAATTTCTTTTCCTGCCTAAGGACTTGTGCTAAAATTTCCAGAAATATATTAAGCAATAATGACAAAAGAAGGTATACTTGTCTGGTTCTGGATGCTACAGAAAACAACGCTTCCAACTTTTCCTCGTTCAGTGTGGTGTCATGAATGATCTTGTATTTTAGCAAATGCTTTCTCTGCATCAGCTAATAGAGTAACATGGTTTTTATCCTTCATAATGACTGCATGGTATGTCACATAAATTGGTTTGCATATGTTGACCCCTCCTGCATCCCTAAGGTAAATTCTACCTGATCTGAGAGAATGATGTTTTTGATGTGCTGTTGGAATCAATTTCCTGATGTTCTATTGAGGATTTTTCCACCTGTGCTCATATGGGATATTGACATGTAGTTCTCTTTTTTGTTGTACATTTCTCTGCCTTTGGAATTATGGTAACGCTGGCCTGACAGAATGAGTTTGGAAATGCTCCCTGCTTTTCAATTGTTTTGAATAGTTTAAGAAGAGTTTGGATTAGCTCTTCTTTGCAAGTTTGCTGGAATTCAACAGAAAAACTATCCAATCCTGAGCTTTTCTTTTTTTGGAAGGTTTTTATTACTAATTCAACTTCAATCTTGGTTATTTGTCTATGTTGGTCTTTTTACATCAATTTTGCAAATGGTTTGTATTCAGAAATTATCTATTTCATCTAGATTTTTGGACTTGTTCACATTAGCTATCTGTAATAATTCTTATTATCCTTTGCATTCTGTGGTGTCAGTTGTAGCAGATCTTTTTATTTATCTCTGATTTTATTAATTTGATTCTTCTCCTTTTTGGAGGTAGGGGTAGTTGGGCCAGTGGTTGATCAGTTTTGTTTTGTTTTGTCTTGTTTTGTTTTGTTTTGTTTTGTTTCAGAAAAAAAAAAAATCAGCTCCTTGAGTCACTGATTTTTTATAGTTTTTATAATTTATTTTGTTTATTCTCTAAATTTTGTTATTTCTTTCCTCCTATAATCTTGGTTTGTTCTTCTTTTTCTAGGTTCTTGAGATGCTGTTGGGTCATTTATTTGGTACCTTTCCAATTTTTTGAAGTAGGTACTAAATACTAAATATCTATCTAGATAGATACACATATATAGATATATATTGATATAGATATGATTTATTTACTTTTATGGTAAAATAAATTTTTACAGATACAGAAGGAGAGACAGAGAGGCCTTCCATCTACTGGTTCACTCCCCAAATTACCATAATGGCCAGAACTGAGCTGATCCTATGGTGGGAGCCAAGGTGCAAGGTCTCAAGGACTTGGGTCATCCTGTCTGTTTTCCCAGGCCATAAATGAAGTGGATGAGCCAGGATATGCACTGGTGCCCATATGGGATGCTGGTGCTATAGGTGGAGGATTAGTTTGCTACGTCACCATACTAGCCCCACTTAGTTGCCATAAACCTAATTATTAATACTACTTTTACGGTATCCTATTAGTTTGTATATGTTGCATTGTCTTTTCATTTGTTCCAAAGAAAAAAAAAAACTTTTAATTTTTTTACTATCTTGGAAGGTCTCTCTTAATGAGAGATTCTCTGGGTAAAGTATTATGGGTTGGCAATTTTTTCCTTTTAACACATGGCCTATTTCTCGCTGTTACTGCCTTGCTTATAAAGTTTCTGTTGAGAATTTGATGTCAATCTGATGGTGAGAATTTGATATCAATCTTTTAAATGTGATCTGGCATTTCTCAAAAATTTTAGAACGTTCCCTTTACGTTTTGTTTCCCTGAAGCCAGGGTCTTTCACGTGAGTACAGGGGTCCAAGAACTTGGGTCATCTGCTGCTGTTTTTCCCAGGCCATTAGCAAGGGAGCTGGATTGGAAGTGGAGCAGCTGGGACACGAACCAGCATGAAAATGAGATGCCTGCATTCCAGGGGTCGGTTTTATCCACTTTGCCACAAGACCAGCCCCTAGCGAATTTAAAAATTTGAAGTCTTTCTTTTTAATTGTCTACTATCATTAGAAAAGGGCATCTCATCCCACGCTCCTTGAACCCCTTATGCCCTTTCTATTATTCAATAGTATTGATTTCTTAGTTCCCCCATAGATTTTCCTACAATGGGCAATTCACTCTAAGTGACACAGGCTGCAGTTTAATTAACTGCTTTACTAGACCATGACAAGAGCCTTTAACCATACCACCTGGACTTTTTTTTTTCCTGCAGTTTCAACCAAGCCAACAACGCTCCCATATTTCCATACACGTGATATATGTCTCGGCAGTTCCAATTCCTGATCATTTAGCATCCTTCATTTCAAAGAACAGAAATCAAATTTGCCTGACGGAAGCTGAAAATGAATAAAGGATGTGAGGTGGCTCCCAGAATCTCTAGGAAGGCAGAAGTGTTCCTTTACAGTGAAGCAGCAAGAAAAGATGCTAAAGATACAACAAGTTGCTTAGGCAACAGGCTAATCATAGTCCAAGCTCCGTCAGCTCCTCGGCACTGCTACCCCTCACTCTGAGAGATGCTAGAGCTTCTTATGGCTGTTCCCACTACCCCCAGTGGAGAGCATCACCTCCCGTAACCGCACCAGTAGAGGCTAGGTATGCACACAATGTGATTTGATCATGTCTCCCAAGGAGCTTGACCGTCACTAGTAGCTGTGATAGGTGGCAGGGTCCCTAACAGGTGGGAACTGGTGGGGTTGTGGAGCAGGGGTTTCTACAGCCTGGCCCTCTCCCTCACTCTGGCTTTCTGTGGCACCACACCTCTCTCTCTCATACACAGACCTGTCACTTGCATGCCATGTAGTGAGAAAGCCAAGAAAACCCTTGCCAGAGACAACGCTATGCTCTTAGGACTTTGAGCCCCCAAAACTGTGGGATAAATAAACTTCTTTATAAGTACTTAGCCTTGGGTATTTCATTATAGGAACAGAACACAGAATAATGGAGCAAGTATCTAGTCTTTCAGTTTCTATTGTGGAAGGCTTACTCTGTTTCTCACCAACTATTATGAAGTGGGAAAATCCAGACACAGAAAAGGGTTTCAGTTCACTTGACCTTCCCCTAGACTACCTACATAGGCTTGGTGACACTTGTGGCTCTGAGGACGTGGAGACCCACACTCTAAGTGGAGGTTCAAAACATTCAAATGATCAAATCCTTCAAAATGTCTCACTTTTAAAGTGTCTGTGTCTGAATTAAAAATATATATATATCAAAACACTAAGAACTCCAGTGAACTCCCCTTATACCTAAAACAAACACTGATTGCTCACCAGGGTTGTCTGTAGGCCAGCCCCTCTCACTGACCCCTCTCCCAGTGCCCTCTGGCACTTGCTGGAACCCAGTTCTACCAGTCTCCTTGGCAGTCCTTTAACAGACCAAGTTCATTCCACCTATAATCTACACTTGACATTCCCTCTTCTCCACAGTCTTCCTACAGTCAGATTCTAAGAGAGGCCATCTCTGACCACTCTAAACAGTCAGTCCATCTTCTTGGCTTCCATGATGCGATATGTTTGTTTCTCTCCTTCCCACCAGAGAGCAGGTGCCTAGCCAAACATGTTCAGTGCTATCCCCAGTTGTCTGTACAATTGGCAAATGTTCACTATGTGCATTAAAGTATTAGTGAAGGATAAGTGCAGTTATGACAAGTGACCTAATGGATTCACTTATTGGGAGTAGAAATGTATATCCCACAGTTCCAGAGGTTAGGAAAGGCAAAATCAAGGCACCAGTAGATTTGGTGTCTGGTGAAGACCCCAATCTCGACTTCCAAGATGGTGCCTTAAACACTGTGTCGTCACCTGGCAGAAGGGATGGAAGGGCAAACACATGCCTAAGCTACTTCCCTTCTGCCCTTTCATATGGCACAAATGCATTCATGGGCAGAGCCTTCATGATGCAACCACCTTACAAGGAGCCCGACAGCTCAATACCACCGAGAAGTAATTCAAAGTCAGTGGTATCTTTGAAAACTACCCAGCCTGGAGGAAATGGAGAAGTCGAGTCCAGACTGACGGGGAGGGACACCTTGGGCAGGCCGGAGGATCAGGACTCTTAGTAACAGCAACCCCCAAGGTGTGCCTTGGACATTTTTGTTTCCTGAAGATCCTTCTGTCCATTCATCTGTCTTGATAGACGTACAAAGGAAAAGAAAAAGAAACCGAGGTGTCTTCGGCCACAAGAGAACAATCCAACCAGGAAGATCACAAGTTCACATTGGCACTGAAAGTTGGAAAGGCCTGGATTGGGTCATCACTGTTTAAAAACTTCTAACAGCAGAAAAGGGAACCCCACCAAGCAGGGCAGGTAAATTGGGAAAGCCTCATGTGGGAGTAGGCAGAACTGGAAGCATCTGCCCTTTTTACTGTTCATGTGACAACAGCCAATCACAGAGCAGGCTGTTCAGGATAGCAGCCAATCGCAGAGCAGGCTGCACATCAGCTGCCTCCCTTCTCAGCATAGCAGCAGCCTTGGCAACTTTCTCTTGCTCTCAGCAGACTAAGCTATTTATACTCTGGCATTGGAAAACATGTAATTTACAGAAAAGCCCCTGGATCGTGTGTCATTCATACAGGGACAGAAGATGTTTTCAAAGAACCGTATTTCTGTAGTGTTTTTTGCGACCAAGACTGTACCACAGCGATCTGCCAGGTTGTGTGGGTGTAAAAAAGCCTCCGTCCACTATTCTTCAATTCTACGTTGGCTGTTCTGATGTCTGTTCAAGTGTTCACGCTGATGCTTCAGTTTTGGGTGTTACATGTGATTTGCAGACTTTTTTTTATGATAGTTTTCTTTTCTTAAAAAGTATTTATTTATTTATTTATTTTAATTTGAGGATGGAGAAATAGAGCTCTCTCACAACAGCCAGGACAGGGCCAGGTGGAAACCAAGAGCCAGCAACTCAATCCAGGTTCCCCATGTGAGTGGCAGAGATTCAAGTACTTGAGCCCTCACCTCCCAGGGTGCACATCAGCAGAAGGCTGGATAGGAAGCAGGGATGGGACTGAAACCAGCGTCTCAGATACAGGAAACAGGGGTCCTGAGCAGTGACAGCCACTGTACCATACACACTTTGTGTTCAGGAGTTTGTGTCTCGATCTTCTCTGCCGACTTCTGTTGGTGTGGTGCACATCAGGGCACTCGGGACTCTGCAGAGGCCCCTTCGTTACTTTCCTCTCATCCTCCCCAGCTCTATTCAACTCCTTTAGCACCCTTTGTGGCATCACTGCCATGTCCCTCCAGAAGTCAAGTCCAAGTACTGTCTTCACATCTCAGGAGACCCCAACCAAGGAGGAGTCAACAGGAATGAAAAAAAGAGACTGTGTTATCCTTACACTTGGCAGATTTCCAAGTGACTTAAAAGAAGACTTCCAGAGTACCCTGAAACTGATGTTATTTCAATACAACCCAAGGGCAGGAGAAGAGAATTGAGAAATGAGCGCCTAGACATTCCACTGTACCCACATAGCTGGCATGGGACAGTCTGGTGCAGCGGATAAGTAGTCACTTGGCAAGCCTGCATCCCACATCACGGGACCGTGGAGTCCTCCCTCTGCTTCCAAACTAACATGTACTCTGGGAGGTAGACGGCAATAATCCAAGGCTTGGGTTCCCTGCCACCCATAGAGGAAGAAGGGACAAATGGACTGGCATCCAGAAAGATGACTCTATGCCAATTTTTAATATGAAAACATGTGTTATTATGGCTTTTTAAGAACAGTGAAAAGTGACAATGGAAGGGAGAGATATGGGGACTGGCGTTTTAGCATAGCATCCCTTATTGCAGAACACTAGATGGAGTCCCAGATGCTCCAGGTCGCATAGAGATCCCTGTTGTTGCAGCTGGGAAGGTCATGGAAGATGGTCTGGGTGATTGGGCCCTTGCCCCCCAACACTCCAAACATGGGAGACCCAAATAAGCTTTCAGCTTTCTGGCTTCAGCCTGAACCATTCCTGACCTTGGTGGCTGTTTGGGGAGTGAACCAGCAGGTGGAAGTGTTTGTTCACTCTCCCACCTCCTCTCTCCATATCACTCTGCTTTTCCCATAAATAATAAGCCTTCTCTTTTTTAAAGGGAAACTATAGCTATAATCCATCTGCCCATTCATTCCACAGATATTGAAAACAGATATAGCTAGCAACATTCCAGGTACTACTGCAGTTCAAGACTGTCGTGAAAATAAGACGAGCAAAACAATAGGGACTGATAGAGAAGTTACATGGGAGTCTTTTCCAATTGGCGTGGATCTAAAATTCCTGCTAACCTCTAGGGAAATAGCATCTCTTCGCAGGACAATAACAAGGCTCTGAGATGGAAACACAACAAGGCCAGAGCAAGGACACATCGGTGAACCAGTCAAGATGTGATGAAACAGACCAGAGAGGCAGCAGAAAATCAGGGAGGCAGGCCTGCACGGAACAGTATGAGGCTTCGTATTCTTTTTTGCTCTAAGTCAGGAAGTCATTGGGGAATTACAAGCAGGCCTGTTATGTGATCTGATTTGTATTTTTAAAAGGTCAAGGTGGCTGCTATGAATTAAAAGAATTGCAGAGAAGTAAAAAATAAGGAGTCTAATTTGCAGTCGTTGTAGAAGTCCAGATAAGAGCTGGTGGAGATTTAGAGCCATTGTAGTAGCAGAGTTCAACATTAAAATAGACAGACAAATACTCTTTTTGGACATAAGCACATGTGTGTGCACAAAGAAAAAATATTTATCCTCATTAATACATAAAAAAATAACTAATTTTGTAGCTTCCCGTCTCTGTGGTATCATACCAATTATGCTTTTGCGAAAAACAATTAAACATAGCTTGCAAACCCATTTCTACCCCCTGCTCTTTGCTCACAGCTCCTAATTATTCTAGGAAATGATTAAACCAAGCGGAGAGCATGGGAATTTCTATTTGAGGGTCTGGAAAGCTGAAGTTAATGGGAACATGGAGTCTGATCTTTCAAGCTGCTTTCTTTAGTGTCAACCAAGTCTGCATCCGTAATTAAAGGTGATGTAAAATTGTGTCCCCTGAGCAAATGTGACAGTTAGAATATTCTGGTTGAATTAATGGGTGATGGGTGTTTTTGAGTGTGTAATTAGCTGACCATCTGTTCTATTAAAACATATCTTCACCTTGACAAGGCAAAGGCTTCTAATTGAGCTCCTTCTTTCCAATGTTAACTTCCCAATCCAACCAACACATTGTTTTCCAAGTACTAGAGCTAATAGTGCAAATTGTGACCCCTCCCCTGCTATAAAGCCTTCAAAAGGAGATCAGCACTGTGGTGTATTAGGTTAAGCTTCTGCCTGCAATGCCAGCATTTCATTGGATTCCCAGCTCCTCCACTTCTGATCCAGCTCCCTGCTAACACACCTGGGAAAGCAGCAGAAGATGCCCCAAGTGCTTGAGAGAGAGCTTAATGTCCAGTTTCCAAGGGCTGACTTTTCTGATGAGGGCAAAAAGAGTGAACTTATAAAATTGGTGCTGTTGGGTGCTGTAACCTAGCAGCCAAAGTCCTTGCCTTGAATGCACAGGGATCCTATATGGGCCCCAGTTGTGCCCCAGCGGTCCTGCTTCCCATCCAGCTCCCTGCTTGTGGCCTGGGAAAGCAGTCGAGGACCGTCCAAAGCACTGGGATCCTGCACCCACGTGGGAGACCTGGAAGAGACTCCTGGCTCCTGCCCTCAGATCTGCTCAGCTCTGGTCATTGCAACCACTTGGGGAGTAAATCAGCAGGTGGAAGATCTTTCTCCCTGTCTCTCCTTCTCTCTGTAAATCTGCTTTCCAATAAAAATTTTAAAAAAAAATTTAAGAAAGAAATTGGATATGTTGAGGAAGGCAAGAAGAATTCTGTTCAGAAGAGTATCCAGTGCCACACTGTGGAAAAGACAAGCAAGCACAAGACCGGGTTAAATCTCCATGGTCTGCTTGGGCGGAAGATGAGTCAAGCCTTCAGGTCGTCTTACGCAGATGCAGACAAGAACAAAGGCATCACCTGGGGAAAATGCACCCTGCTGATGCAGTACTTGGAGGATCCCAAGATACACTCCCTGAAACCAATTGATCTTTGCTGGCGTTTAGAGAGGGCAGACTTGATAGTTTATCTCAAAAGAGCTATTAATGAATAATAGTTGGTCAGTGCCTTGCTGATCATGAAACAGAAATGTCTCATGACTTTTTTTATATGCACCATAATTTTAACTCTCCTATGCCAGAATTCAGATCATTAATGACTGAGAATACTTTTCTCTGGCAGTCCTGATTTTAAGATTGCCGGTATAGTTCAATTTTAAAAAGGATTGGGCTTAGTGAAAAGTGGCTTGTAATTCCAATTCAATAAACATCCTCACTTGATTTTGCCCCTCCTAAGAATATGATTGGACTTAACTAATGTTCAATTCTTCACAAAAAAAAATGCTGAATACCGTCTCCAAACCTGCTGGGAGACTAGATTTGTATTCAAATACGAGGGAAGAGATCAGTATTGTCTCAGAACTAAGACTCAACTTGCCTGCTAGTTCGCATTCCGTACCTGTTTAAAAGCAACCACTGAAGATAGAAATGTCTGTTTCATATTTCTGGTCTTAACTGTGTCGATCTAATAAGAATCTCCTTTGTCTAAACTGCCGCTTGATGGGAAGGCATTTTAGTGTGATTAATGTATATCAAGTAAAGACTATTTAATACTTCTCACATTTGGTAGATGAGCTCTAAGATCAGGTGCTTTGAATGGCAGCATGACAGAGTTCCAAGTTAACTTTCATAATTCTTTACTACCTTAGACTAAGTTAGATTTCAGGATGGTCTCTCAGCAGCTATTTGGAAACAAAATTGGGCAAGTACGGTACACTGGTGCCCAGTCCTTTTGCCAACTCGTTGGAAGCAGTCAGGTAGAGGAGATATGCCATCGGCAGAAAAATTTAAATTATGTCACCACAAGACTTAATTAAAAACAAAATTATAGGCTATAAAAAGAAGAAGGCCCGAGGACTTGAACCGCTGACACCTGCGTGGGACAGCCAGATGGAGTTTGGACTTGGCCCAGTCCCAGCTGTTGAAGCCATTTTGGGTGACGGACTAGTAGACAGAGGATCTCTTCTGTATTTCTCCCTCTCTGCCTTCCAAGCAAATATTTGAATCTCAAAAACGAAACAGAAACCTTTAGAAGCTCCCCATGCATTGAGGGATAAGGTCTCACCTCGGCTCATGTACACAAGGCCCTCTGTATCTGCTGCTCTCAGCGCTCCTCTGCCCACATCCCTGCACCTGTTTGACCAAAGCTGAGGAAGCGATCCTTGCTCTTCACACCTCTTTTCTTTGCTCTCACTCTTCCCTACTCTCCCATTGCTTCACACTATACTGAATGCCATTTGGTGTTCCCTAAAGCAGTGGTTCTTGAAAACAGGGCCTGAACTTTTTATAACAGATCCACAAGGTCAAAACTGTTCATAATAAATTCCGAGATGCTACTGTCTTTTCCGTCGTGGTGACAGTAATAATAGTGTCCACACAAGGGTGGGTAGAATGTCGGTCCTCTTAAAGCACATCAAAGCATAGGCATCATGCTCTACCAGGATTTACTGTCCCCTTCACCATCACCCCGCTCAAAGGGAAGGAAGAGAAGACCAGTTGCAGTTAACCACGTGCTCCGTGAAGCAGTCAAAAGCGCCTGGGTTTGTGAACCCTCAGCCTCTCACCAGGTAACCGTGAAGTTGTGCATGATGACCATGCCTAGGGCAGCTCTGCTTTGTACCAACCTGCATTGGTTGTCTCAGGAAAAGGCATCGCGTTTGAGTTACAAGCCGAACTAACCGTGCGCTTTGCTTTTCGTGGGACTCCGTTGTCCTCTGACTTTCTGCCAGCTGGATCTGCCCGTCATCTTTGAGAGGTGTTACAGTTTTTCGTCCCCAAAACTATGAGTCCCTCTGTTTCTCCCTGTGGTTCTGTTAGGTAGTGAGGTTAGCGTGTGTGTGTGTGTGTGTGTGTGTGTGTGTGTGTTTGTGTGAAGGATCACAGAACAAGCATGCCATGAGGAGAGCGATTGTCAAAGCCCCCCTTGGAAGCTGATCAGCATAACTTTATTAGGTGGGTCCCAGCCTTCACTCCCTCAGGGGCCACCTTAGCAAAATCTCCGACTGTCCCAAGGGAAGGCAACTGTTGTGTCCATTGCCACTGCGATGATGAACTCCTGAGAGGAAGTGCACCAATTTCATGCTCAGGCAGCTCTCTACCCAGAAGAAAGAGGGGAAGAGGAGAAATGGAGAGCCATATCCTGAAAAACTGCTGTCTGAATACACGCTGGGCTCCCGGCTCTTTCCTGCCTGCCTAGCCTGTCAGACGTATTTTCAATCCACTTGGCCAGCCTGCTTACCGCTGCTCTCAATCTCAACGTCGGACCTCCCTTCCTTGCATGAAGACGAGAGCCTCTGACCAGCCACCTCCTGTAACACCCTGTCACTTTAAGTCTCGTGCAGTTTTATGCTCTGTAGTTAGGAGAGTTCACAGGTAGGATAGCTAATGTCTTCCTGGAAGAAAAAGATCTCTTTTTCATTATGCAGTTGCTCTTCAGTATGCTTCTCAACGTTTCTTGAAGTCTCTCTCTTTTTGTGAAATAATGACGTTTTCTTTTGTTAAATATTAACATGGTATATTTTCTCCATCCACTTATATATCATAAACCTATAAACAGATAAACATGAATAGATATGCCTTTTATTTAAAGTAAATTGCTTGTGGACAATATAGAGCGAGGTCTTGTTTCTTGAGCCACCCTGACAGTCTCTTTTAGTGCCATTTTCGTTTGAGTGACTGACAGATAAGATTTCATCTAAGACTTGGCTATCTGGCAGACTTCTAAAAAAGGAAACAAGTGTGCCTGTCACTTCAAGTACAAGGACTGCAAGCATTTGTTGTCGATAATAAAAATTCAAGCTTTCCAGCAAGTCACAACTTTTGAAAACCATTGCTATGTCACTGGGAGCTTTGTAACTGCCTGACGCTTAGCTGTCTCCAGTGAGATTAGTGGTACTATTAGTAAATAGGATTTTTAAGTATATAATGTAATAAAATATGTAAACATTTAGAAGATTCGCATGACTCACAGAATCGGTATTTTTCCAAGTGACAAACAGATGATGTTAAAAATTAAATATGGTAAAATCCATTTAAACTGTAAGATGCAAAATACACTGCAATGTTTAAAGTATAAAAATTGATGCTTCCCCAAAATGATGAACATAATCCCAGTCAAAATTCCAAAGGGATTTATTTTTAGAAAACTTGGCAAGATAACTCTAAAATTAACATAGAAACCCAAAGATACTAGAGTGGCCAAGGCAATTTTTTAAAAGAAATTGACAGCCTTACTGTCTGAGCCTAGGACTTCACAGCTACAGAAGTCAAATAGCATAGTATTGGGATAAAGATAGATACACAGCTAAACAGGACAGACCAGATGCTTCAGAAATAAATGCTTGTGTATGTAGCCAATAGATTTTTTTATGAAGACATCAAGACAATAAAGAGGGGTAAATATGATCTTTTCAACAAAGGATTTGGGAACCATTGGAGAGTCATTTGTAGAAAGGAAAGATGGTAGGAGGGAAGGAGAGAAAGAAAAGAAGCCTTATCCTTCATGCTACAACATCCATAAAAAATTAAGTCAAAATGAATACTTGACTTAGATTTAAGGGTATAGAAGTATTAACGGAATCATAAGAGAATTTAATGAACATTAGCTGGCAAGTATCTCTTTTTAAAGATTTTTTTTCAATGTTTTAAAAATTGCCAATTAGCATGTCATGCTTGCAAATGTTTATGGTCTACAATACTTCAGTACACAATACAATACAACACACACACACAGAGATCAAGCTAGTCAAATCAACAGCTTCCACTTCCATAGCTTTTCTTTGTGTCTAAAGTTACCCCAAGCAGCAACCGTACCTGGTACATCCATACAACCGCTGTATGTGTCTGGATAATAACCATTCTACTTGATGCATGATAATATCTCCTGCTAGTTTTGATTCGCATTTCTCTGATGGCTAGTGAGATTCCACATGTTTTCATATATTTGTTGGCTATTTTTTCCATCCTTTGTGAAATATCTGTTCAAAACCTTGGCTCATTTTTAATTTGGATTTTTTTTTATTGCTGCTGAGTTTTTTTCAGCTTCTTATATGTCCTAGATAGTAATCATTTGACAAATGAGTAGATTGCAAATATTTCTTCTTTTCTGTCATCTGACTCTTGCTTGCATTATTTCTTTGGCTGCACAGAAGTTTCTCTGCTTTGTATAATACCGTTTATCTAGCTTTGCTTCTATTGCTTGTGCATTTAAGGTTTTATCCAAAATACTTGTTACCCATTCCATGTCTGGTGTGTTTTCCCTGTTCTTGTCTAATCATTTCATACTTTCAGCTCTTGCGTTTTAGATCACTGATCCGTTTTAAGTTGATTTGCATAGAGGATGAGAAGCAAGGACCAGAGTTCAATCTTTTGCATATACAGCTTGAATTTCCTCAGCACCGTTTATCGTGGAGAATTTCCCTTTGCTAGTGTGTCTTCTGGCATACACTGGAGAATTCGTTGGCTGTGAGTGCGTGGATTCCTTTGTGGGATTTCGACGCTGTTGCATCGGTCTGTGCTTCTCTTTCACGCCAGGACTGTTATTTGAAGTGTAGCCACTCCGAAGTAGTTCTTCAAACTGGATACTACGGTGCTTACCAACTCTGTATTTTTTGCTCCAAATGTCTTTGGCTATTTGGGGTCTTTGTGCTTCCATAAGAATTTTAGAGGGCTTCTTTTCTTAATTCTTTAAAGAATATCATTAGTATTTTGATTAAAATTGAGTTGTATGTATAAATTACCTTGAATAGTATGAGCAGTTTAATAATATTAATTCTTCCAATATATGAACATGCGAGGCCACTTATTCGTGTGATTTTTTTTTTTTTTTTTTTTTTTAGTTTCCGGCCTGACCTGCATAATCCATGTTCCCCCAGAACTAACTCACACACCCACTGACAAGTGAAGCAGCCCTCCCCGGCCTGACCAACACCCAGCCCTGATTCACGTGCTCACCAACAGGAGGGACAGCCCACAGGGGAGTTCCCAAGCTCCCTCA